AGTGTTGCGCCCAACCATTAACCCAGCACTGCCAAGCCCAGCACTAAACCATGTCTCAAAGTGCCACATCTCAATGTCTTTTAAATACCTCCAGGGCTGGTGATTTAACCACCTACCTGGGCAGCCTGTTCCAGTGTTTGACAACCCTTTCAGGTGAGCTTTTCCAGTAGAACATACTCCATCTCTATGACCAGCTCTTAATACCAGCCGTTCACTCTACTGGGGTCAGTAGAGAAAGTGTATTATCAAAGTGTGTTAACATCCAGCTGAAACTTTTCTATCCAAATCTGTATAAAGCTAATTTTTCTCATAACAATTTAAACTCATTATTTTGTCTCTAAGATCAGGCTAAGGGTTATACTGCTTTTGTCAGAACTTGGGGTCAGCCTAGGCATTATAAGCAGGGTATTCTGAAATCCCATCAATGCAGGGAAGAAAAAAACAAACAAATGCTTAAAATTAATTTACTGCATTCTGAAAACAGTATGTGATGCACCTCTAAGCATACCTTTCAAAACCTGTCTATTATTCCTTGATATTTGGGCCAGGCCTTGCAGAACAGGTGAAGCCTTGAAGAATTTACTTTCCATGGAGGAAGATGTGTCTGACTTATGAGTCAGGGCCTTTGCATTGAGAAGCACAATGAGGCAGGTCATGCAGAAACCTGTAAAGGATGAGCTGGGTGTAACACGTGGTCTATGAAATTTGGTTCAACTGGCTTTTGACTTGTTCTGTGTTAAGTCTCATTCTCCTGCAATTTTGCAATGGACATGAATAAAATTTTAAAACTGATTCATTTTTTCATTCTTCTCTATAGTGTTCACAAATAAGTTTTCCTCTTTTCAGATTTCACCTCTTATTTCACCCTCAGTCCAACAAAAAAGACTGTAGACACAGGAGTAATGAAATAAATCCCAACCCCATTGTTACTAACATTTTAACAGCATTGTCTGGGTGTGCAAGTTCACACTTCAGTGAGGAATAGGGTGAAACATGGAGAATTGCCATCTTTGCAGCTGCTACTAGCTGACATGGCAGCAAGGCAGATTGCTGTGAGGACAGTGCTGCATCTGCTGCCCTGTAAATGGCAATGAACCAGATTCTCCACAGCCAGCTTCCTTGTGCTGCTCACATAGTGCAAAGGGATGCTAATAAGGCAGCAAATAGTTTATAAAGAATTAAGATATTGAAGGAAAAAAGGAAATCACACTCACCTGAGTGTGCCAGACTTGAGTTTCTTTCACGTGTGTCCTTTTTTTATTCACATTGTGTGATGAAGGGTAAATCGTGGGAATGGTGGTGTACTGCTACCACCATCCACTAATAGTCTATTCCAAAACTACAGTTCACCACAATTTGGTAATTACTGCTATCCATGGGAGGGAGCAAAACGCCTTTAAAGCAGCCTTTAAGAATATATTGAAGGGAGTCCTCACACAGGAAAGAGTTTAACCCCAAAGCACTGAAAATAAAAAAAGACAAAACCTTTGATCTTGATCATTTGCTATGGTCTGAGCGCAGAGCTCAGGGCAGAAGCATTGGCCTCTGCTATCTTCAGAGCTTGGAGTGGCTGCTTGCCAAGCAAGTGCTCTGCAGTCCAAGCATAAGGACAGCTCTAAATAACACCGGCTACCAACAGCCCAGAGGGCAGCAGTGCAAGAGCTGTGTGTGAACTGGGGCAGGCAGCACCACTGCCATGCATCCTGTTTTGGCAGCGAAGTGAGGTGTTGATTTTGAGAGTGCCATCTCTAAGTTGTCTCTTGAAGTAATATAATCCTCTTATTTCCTGCTTCACCAGTTTTAAGGTCGCTTTGGTCTTCTGGGGCAGTGTAAAGCTGTTGTAGCTCCACAGGGGAAAATCTTGGCTATTCCTCTTAAAGCAAAGCTTGACTGTCTGAGATGTTGTAGAGAGGAACATGAATCTCAGTAACCCTCTGAAAGTGCAGTATACACAAATAATCTTTGTGCCTGCAATTCTCTCCTGGCCTGGATGCTAAGGCAGTTTTTAATGAGGATTTGGCTCTGAGTGCGTATTTCCATGAAATGCTTACAATCTTCTTTTGCAGCCCCCACAATAATACCTACATGCACAAAAATAATAAAGTCTTATGTACAAATATGCAGAACCACATGCCAGTTCTTCAGCTTTCCAGCCCTTCCAAGAACTCCCACAGAGTGGCATTAGAGAGGGGGCAGGAGGCCAGCTAAGATGCTGACACCTAGAACAAGAAGCAAAGAACATATAGAAATGCTTTGTCAGGTCAGATCTTTATTCTGACACTGAAGACAGAGCTAGACTGACAGAAAGTGTTTATGACCTGAGCAGAAAGAAGACAACAGTGAAAGGATCAAGGCCTGTTAAATCAGGATACAGCTGTCCCCAGAGAACTTGATCCTGGCCAATGGGCTTTGGCAAGGAATGGTTCGCATGCAATAGCTGTGTTTTGCTGTGGATGAGTGCCTAAAGCCCAGCTTAAAGTGGTTAAGTGTTCTACTCCCCCTCACACGATGATCTCTCAATCTGATAAGTCTAGGAGAAAGGGATGCAAAAATAACTAAAAATTAGGCTTTATATATTTTTTGAAACATCTATTTTCATTATGAAAAGAAATATAGAGGGAATAGATGTACACCACCTTTTTTCTTCCATGAGGGTAAAAATTATGGGAGATAGCAGGAAGACGAAAAAATATGCTGGAAAGAGAAAGAGAGAAAAACTGCAAAATCTAGTTCATTAATCATAAAATTAAGAAATACAGTGATGATGAGAGTACCAAGAGATGCAACACAGAGTCACAGAATATGCTGCATTGGAAAAGACCCATCAGAATCAGGGAGTCCAACTCCTGGCCCTGCACAGGACATCCCAGGAGTCACACCATCAGCCTGAGAACACTGTCCAAATGCTTCTTGAACTCTGTCAGGCTTGGTGCTGTGACCGCTTCACTGGGGAACCTGTTCCAGTGGCCAACCACCCTCTGGGTGAAGAAAATTTTCCTGATATGCAACCTAAACCTGCACTGATTCAGCTTCATACCATTAATAAATAAGTAAATTAACAAATAAACTCTGTTCACTGACTCCTGAAAAATTGTCATTATCCTTAAGAAACTAGCAGTAACAAACCATTAAAGTAATGCTACAAGATTTTTATGTACTTTCAAGAAAAATAAAATGATTGAATGTTTCTATGCAGGAAAAAACAACCTTGAAAAACTAATATTTTTGTTTCAGGGATATGCAAAACATGGATGAAGAGGATCAGGAGGTACAAATGTCCACATCAACAAAATAGACTTTCACAGGGATAGAGCTACCTGGAAGGGTCCAAAAGGTGGCTGGCTGTGCAGCTCAATCACTTATTGGTGCAAAGTCTTTGTGACCAGAAAACCCTTTGACATTAGCAATTTTACTGGGCAGTGACAGTGACATCAAGTGGATACATTAGTGAATTAAACAACTGAGTTACTCTGATACATGAGAAACTGTATTGTAGTAATGATTCATCTGAAAAGTGCTTCTACCATATGACAGATTGAGAAGTGATTTGCCCTTTGAGGGACTCTTTGTGTTCATGTGTACATCATCCCCTCCCTGCATCTTCATATGAAGGGTAACTCCCACTTCATTTATTTGAACAGACAAAATGAGGAAATTTTCCAAAGAGGCTGAAAAAAGGGTAAAAATTGGAAGCTTCATCCTTCCAGATACAAATAGCAACAGTTCATGAATACAGAATTAGTTTGGGAAAACTCAGATGCATAAAATAGGGCTGCCCCAGGCTGTGCTTCTTCACAACAATGCTGTAGTACCTATTTAGTTATCCAGTAATGCCAAGCAACTCCTGATGACTTCATTATCCACAAAGTATGCATGCGTGCACCCCAAATGAGTCCACTGCAAATGTACTCGCATAATTAAATTTAGACTAAGGTACTAAAGCATTTTTATAATACATGGGGACTCTTTAATGAAAAGACTTATTTTCCTCTATGTGGGTGAAAATATTCAATTGCAAAACCTTCACAGTAGCCTTATTCTGAGATGAAAACACACCATTTTCAGCATGAGAGTGGTGGCAGTGTCTCTTTTATCTTCATCTGCCAACACCCCTGTTTCAACCGTATACTCCCATGTGACCAATACTCCCATTTCAGCCTAAGTGCCTGCCACTCAATGGAACTTTTCTTTATTAGGACATTTTTTTAGATGGTTTGTATTGCTTGCTCAGCATTGCTGGAGTAGTGCCTTGCAAGTGAAATCAACAACGATGTTCAAGTGTGTAGTGGTCTTGGTGGAAAACCCACCCTCTCTTGTGGTAGTTAAAAACAGCCTTGCATTTTGTCTTGATTTCTGTTAGCATCTGCCTGCTCACTAAAAAAGAAAACTAAGTGTTTTAAACCTAGATTGGCTGGTGAAACAAATTTGGTGACGACACAACCTTTGATGGCAAGGCCCAATAAAATGTAGTGCAGATGTCAGCAAAAGTTTTTTTACCATCTCCATTGCCTATGGCTTGCACCACACAGGCAGTGTGTGAATATCTCTTTGATTTATGTGGATCAAAGTCTACAGAAATGCAAAATCTTGCATTAGAGCAAAGCATCCTCATGTTTCCCTCATGGAAGGTGCGGCAATGAGGAGCTGCACTGCCAGTCACCAGCATTCTCCAGGTTTTAAGCAAACATCTCCAGACACTCTTGCCTTGCCCAGGTTGTACAGAGGTGCCATAGTGATTTCCCACTATCTCCATACTTACTAGAGCCATTCCTAGGACAAGGTTAATTCTTTTGTGAGAAGTTTAGGTCTTTTCCGTTATGATGAATCTTTGCTCTCTGGTCTTCTCCAAGGTACCAGTCAAAGTCCCCTGGGAGACTCACAGGAGAAGAGATTTTCTTCACTTCAGGTTGCCCTGTGCAGCTAGAGTGGCTCCCTACCTTGTTCCCTTTTGGCATGAGAGTACACACAAAAGCAGATGAGAGTGCCAACAAAGAAAGGACTTTATGTTTTGACTGGTGCCATGATGACTCTTTCATTCAGCTTTCATCCTTAGAAACAGCATTGCCTTAGATAGCACATCTGCTGTAAAAGAATAAATATCTGTCTTTGCCTACTTCTGTACATACATCCTCTGTCTCCTCAGAGGCTTGTGCTCCTCATCACAGAGGTGCCCAATCTTTGCTGAAGCAAAGTGACTACACTGAAAATCAATAGCAGAGCTAAGCACACTAATACCCTCTGTGTGCTTCAGCTTCCAAGACCAATCATCTGCTCTTGAGGAAATGCTGAGAGGAAATTAGAAATATTTCAAAAAAACCCACACCTTTATAAATTATTGTGACTGTATCACTGCTGCAGATGCACAAGTGAAAGTAGGACTTAATATTCTTCATCACTTCAGAAAAAGCTTTAGGCAAGTGCACAGTACGTCTTACCTTACTGTTGACAAGTACCTTGTAAAGGAATTTCTTTATGAAAGAGCATGGAGAAAAACAGAATGCAAATCCTGCAGTAAATAAATCTGAGATTACTTGCTTTATGAGCTATTTATATTTCTGAAGGGAAAAAAAATTAAAGAGGAGAAACAATTTTCTGTCGTAGAACTGCAAACCTTTTGCTCGAATGCTTTCAAGACCAGTGCTAACATTCCCTATTCAAACCTGAATGAACAGGCTTTCTTCCCTAAAAAAACCATTGTAATGTAGCTAGGCCAGGAAAACACTGAGAAGCCAAAACATTTGTATAAGTTCAGTGTAACTGAAGAACAATTAGTACACAAGTAAATAATAGAGTGTGCTAATGCAATGTAAACCTGCATGAGATCGGTATTCTGTAGTACAGATTTCACGTCAATGTCAAAGAAAGAATATGCCTAACAATTAGAGTTTGTGATGCTGTCACTGGAGGAAAGGATTTCATTGCATGTCTACAGGGATTGTCTTATCAGGCCATTTGGATGCAAGATCGTGATGGTAAAACTATTCCACTGTATGCCTAGCCCCTCTGACTATTGCATTACAATGCTGTCAGGGTGCTGGGGCATAAAGATTTTACTGCAATCATTCTGAAGCTAATAGGTCCAGATACGATGATCTCAGTGTAGCTAGTTTTCCCAATAAATTTAAAAGAAGAAACATAAAAAGAACTGAAAAATCCAAAAACAATACTGAAGGTTATTAAGTTTTGAGAAGGGCACTCCAATTTAGTGAGGTGCATAAGCTCAGAATCTTCCATATTATTATAATATCAGTTGGGTCATGAGACTCTGGGATATGATGCATGCAGTTGGAATGGAAAATCCTAATTTATCAGATATTCTAAATGTTCTGGTTTTGAGCTACTGTGGCATTTGCACACAGGTAGCTGTAGTATTCCTAGAGGTCCTGAAGGGAACACCATACATCATCCTGAAATCTTCCTCAGATGTCAAATGTTTAATTGTTTCTATTAGCTGCTTTAATGCTCTATTCATACAGGGTTAAAGTTGACTAATGGGGTTGCATACCCTTTTGGAATCACCAATACATCTGTATCCCCATTTTTAAAGACAAAAACGTTAAGCTAAAGTATGTACCATCCCTGCCTCAAAGCCCTAGGTCTGCCCCCAGACTCGAGAAAAGTACAGCTAACGGGGGTGTGTACGCTTGCTGCAGCCACGGCATGTGTCTGATACACCATCCCCTTGGCAACCCCTTGTCTCATTTATCTTCCTGAATGCTCAGCTAACCTTCTCTATCTTGTAGGCAGCTGCTCTGATTGGCACAGATGTTAATTAAACTAGGTAGTAACAGAGCACACGCTGGAAAGGCGGCCCTCGGAGCTGAAAGGGATCCTCGTTCGCACCACTGCCCCACTGCTGTTCTTAGTCATGTGCAGTGTGGAAGGAGGGTAGAAAAAATAACCTCATCCATGTTCCATGTTCCTGAAGTCGTGTAACAGTCTCATGATGGCAGAAGAAGGGGCAGGGCAAGCACCAACTGGTGGCAACAGGCAGCAAATGGAGATTACTGGAGAGCTGGAGACCAGTGGACAAAACATTGCTAATCGCTAACACTGACCTAAGTTAAAGTTCTGTTTTCTCTGCCCATTGACAGCAATTTTCTTTTTCCTCATTTGAGCACTGTGATCTTTCATGTTGCTCAGAGTATTCTTTCAGGCTGAAATGTGCCATGAGGATATGAAACAAAGTTAAAATTATAAGAAACAGGCTAATGCATCCTTCAACCCTATTTGCTTTTCTTAAATTTTTCATCCAATATTCTGGAAATTTTCCCCCTAGAAATTTTCACAGTGACTTTCCTAGTTATTGTAGAAAATCACAGCTATAAGGTAGTCCTAGCTGTGAGAAAGACAAATCAGGAAGTTTCCCCTGAAAATCCCCTGAAAAACCACTCTACTGGAACACCCATTCACAGAACACTGCAAAGGGCAGGATGAACTCCCAGGACATGCTGATACAGGAATTTTGTTGGACATAGTACATTTTAAGACCCTATGCTTACTCCAATTTCAATAAATCCCTATCCGATTCTCTCATCTATAGGAGAGCACTGGTCTTCCTGCACCTGCTTATTTCACATCAAGCTGTGCTGCAGATGCAACCAGAACCTTAAATTTTAAAAGTTTTGTCTGCTGCAAAAAGTTGATAAAAATTAGATACTGGATAAGAGTGATTGAAACCAGGTATATCACACTCAGCTTGAATCTATCACTGAACATTCAAGCAAAGTGAAAAAATAATTCCTGGATGCCACTTGTTTCTTTGAGGGTGTCATGAGAATTCCTCCCTCAAATGGCTGAGTTTTTACTTCAGATCTGAATAATCACAGAGATTTTTCAGAACTGAGAAAATCTGTGAATTGTGCATTTAAATAGAAATGGTTTGCTATGATAAAGGAAATGTATTTGATATAATTTTTACTAACTGCTTTAGATTCACTTTAGGTTCCAGATAAGATTAAAAATAGGACCAGAAACTAGCCTGTTTAAACAGATACTGCAAGTTTGATTGCAGAGGGACCAGACCCCTCTGCAATCAAAGCTGTGAGTAATGAGCAGGGATTCTCTATATTCCCAGGTAAGAAACTGCCTGCTGACAACTCTGCAGCTGCTGGTCAGTCTTCCCTCTCATCAGTCCTCTCTGTTCTGCAGGACACTGCAGCTCCAGAAGTGCTCTCTTTCCCATGGTGTGTAACCTGAATACTTAAGGCTGTAAAAGGTCTCGGAGGATGTAACCAGGCTCAAGTCATTACCCCTCTCCCCAGCCAACACACTGCTTAAGAACTTTATGCTCTGTTTGCCTTAATCCTCACTGGTGCCGTTAGTTGTGTCGTGCCTCCCCTTGCCTTCTCCTACCAGTTGTGATTTAAAACACATCAGAATATGACCCAATTTTATAGTCACAGTGGGCTGTTTGCCGCACACAGAGCAGGTAGGAAGCTTCTCTAAGCTCCCTGTCTTTGTGAATCAAAAAATCATATAATTGGTCTCACATCCTGCGCCAAGCTCATATGAACTGAACATTAGACAAAGTAAAGAAACAGTGCTACCATTACAGTATTAAGAGTACAGTCCTGGCTCTGTGTGCCTGCACTTGAAGTACAAACATTATATAGGTAGCACTGAGTATCAGTTTATTCTATTTCCAAAATTTAATTAAATAATAATAAAAAATTCTTTCGATCTACCTAAACTACTGCTTTTCCAAGACATTCTTAATTAACAGCCATGCTCCTGTACTATTCTCCTGTTTGGTGCCATCATCGTACAGTTCCTGTAGCTGGTGAAACTGTTCAGTTTAATTTCATGGTTTCATATTTTTCAAACAGAACGCAGAAGAAAAAAGGAAGACACTACCTAGGACCTGAAACCAACACTAAAGCCCAGTCAGTATATATCAGAACTTCATGATTAATAAGTTTCAGCTCCCTTGTAAAGGGCTTAAACCATTTATTCCTATTTCATTGCCAGAAAAATCTCAATGTTCTTGTATTAAATATAATATATATTAATATATATTTTTTCCTGAGTGTGTTCCAAAAACAGCCCATCAGCTTTAAGAAGCACTTGTTGATGCCTCCACCATATGACAGCATTTGTTTGAAGTATTTGCATGCCATATAGTTCAGAGTACCTTCTTTTTTCCAGGCAACAGCTAAAAATTTTACTACAGCATTAGGAAATTTTAATGACTGTTAAAAGGTTCCCTAATGACTATAATAAAGGACAATATTTTATTGATGTCAGCAACTAGCAGTTGACTTATGCAGTACTACTTTTTAATCTTCTGGCTTGCTGTGTTCTTATATATCTCTGCTCCAATTCTTAGAGCAAAACCTGATGCATCTCAGCTGTGATTTAATGGATTTACTCATAGAGCTAAAGAAGTCAATGCTGAAGTTACTTAATAAGTGCCGTCTCTTCAGTGCATATTCAATTTTTCACACTCTTTTCATGCTCATGGTCATTTTCTTTTAGACAGTTGTCTGTGACCCTGTACAATGCCTCCCCTGGGCTGGAAATACAAAGCCTCATTGTTTATGCCACAGTTAGTTTGACAGGGCATCAGCAGAAGGTCCAAAATCTAATTCCTGGGTAAAGAAGACATCCCAGGCTTGGGTGCTCAGTTCATTTGATTGCCATATACTTTGGTAACAGAAATTCAAGCATGAGTTTGTTACCACTTGGTGCTCTTTCCTTAGTCTATGGAAGTGCCTGTGTTGGTCTATCAGGACATCCTGGAAGCCTACAAAGAGAAAGGTAGAAAGCCTTTGAAAGACTGCAAAAGATCATGGAATCAAGTCAGCTATTTTTTCTTGAATATACCCACGCCGTAAGGAAATGTGATGTGACTGGGGTTCTGGTATATTTACACTTCTGATTTATTGTATGACCTTGGGCAAGTCACTCATCCCTTTTGTGCCTTTGTTTCTGTATCTCCATTACAGAAATAATAATTACATTTTCTGCTTCACATGGTTCTTCTGAGTGTTTAGTGTTATCAATACACGATGCTTCACAAAATAGTGGAATTATTTTAATAAATATGTCAATCTGGAATAACTGTTGACAACAACAAATTCAGAACCAGTTCTCACAGCAGTTCTTAGGCCTGTCCTCATGATCCCAGGCATCTATCTGAGAAAAAAAAAAAGCTCTTAAAGAGTTGTATTATCAATGAAAGGCAGTAGTATCAAAGCCCCAGGGTTGTCTGGCCTCTAAATGCTAATGCAAGAAGGTAACACAGATGCATGGCTGGAGCAATCCCTATTAACTGAGTGAGAGAGAGCTAGCAGGGGAAAAACCTAACACACTGACTGGCTCCAAGCCCTGGCTGGGTTGGTGGTGGCACAGCAGAGCACAGCCCATTTAAATCACACTGCCCTCTCACGTAAATCCTCGCAGAATGCTGAAACCGTGCTACTTTTGATCATTCACTTGATTACTCCAACTGGTCAAAACAGGGTTTGGGGCATACCTTGCACGTAGCAGATGAAGGATGGAAAGGGTGTAGGCACAAAGGTTTCCTACACAGATGTCCGACAGTTCCTTACAACTTATTAGCGGACTTCTCTGGTCCTCGCAGAGACTAGGAGAGAGCAAATTAACAGAAGCAATTAATTACTCACATGTAAGCTGCTGGACTCAATCCGGGGGAATGGAGAGGACGACAATCCACGAGGTCAGAATGGAGCCTTAATGAGCCCTTCTGGCCCTAGACCCTGTGACTATTCAATTAGGCACGAGACCTCGCTGCGTGCCAAAAGGCCTTTCTCCCCAGCCTCCGGAGCTGTGGCACCTCATGCCAAGCCACAGACCTTGCCCTGGAAGTCTGCGCCGGCGTTAAACGCCGGGTAGTTGGACTGCTCTGGATCTCAGCCTTGAAATGAGGGCAAGCAAGTGACAGCCCAGCACAACTGCAGCTGCTCTTCACTTCAGTCTTGCCTTTAAGCACATTGTGTTTTGTCGTCTTAAATTACAGTAAAATTGCAGTCAGCTGGGTAAACCCAAAGGCCCGTGTTGTTCTTTGCTGGTTTCTGCCATTCACAGAGCTTTCTCTCATGCACACTTATAGTTACTAAAAAATGCTTAAACACTGCAATGTTCATCTGAAGGCAGGGACTTTTGTGTTTAAATAAAGACCCAGCTGATTTTTTAATATCCATTTTATCTTTCACCTGCCTCACAAGTCTCCTTCAAAATGATCCCTTTCTAAGTGATTAATTTTCCATGAGAAGATGCTAACACCAGGACAGTGCAAAAATAAATATCAGAAAAGAGCAAGCAAAAGGGAATGTGTCACATACTGACTACAGGGAAACAGTGCAAAACATCTAATCACAGCAGTGCCAGGAAACTTGAACCTGTCCAAAAGGATCCAGTGCTCTCAATGTTTAATTGCTGTTGATGGCTGCTGGTCAGTCATGCATGACAATGTGTGTGTCACGCTGCTTCCTGCCTATGTTCATTCCTGTCAGCCTTCACTCCAGGTGACGAGTACAGCTTCTCTGACCAGGGGAGAGAGAGAGAGAGAGAGGGAGAGGGAAAAAAGGGCCCTCAGAGACACAAAGCAATATGTACCCAAATAACCCACCAGGAACAGAGTGCCAGAAATGGACAGCAAAGGCCAGCTTTTATCAACTTCTCTACCTCTCCTTATTTATGCTTAAAACAAACAACACAAAACCAAACCAAAACCAACCAAACAGAAAACAACAACAACAAAAAACCCCCAACAAAACAAAAAGTGTGGCATCTGTAACTGACAGTATTCCAACTGGCAAGTCTCAGGTCTCCTGTTTGCTTGATTATATGTTTGAACACATGCTTGGGGCTGCATGAAGCAATTTGAATTACAATCGGGTAGCAATGAAAAGTATCTTTTTTGGGGAACTGGAGCTTTATAAACCTCTTCCTTGAGCTAATAAGAGAAAGGTAGGGGAAATATAGCAGAAGTAACTTAAAATGTCTAGAAATTGTATAACAGCTTTCCACTGCTTTCTTAAAGTGATTGTTTAATGGTTTATGTATCTGGGCCCAGATTCAGCAAAGCACTTAAGCATACATTTAACTTTAAGTACGTGAGTGATCTCATCCTTATTCAGCAAAACCCTTAAATAAAGGCTTAATTTTTAGCCTATGCTTAGCTGTGTTGCTGTAGCAGGGCCTCATCACACACTTCTGCATCCTGCTGTGTCTGTCATATAATTAGAATGAGTGCTGCTCTTTTACCTCATCCATTGCTCTCTTCTTTTCACAACAACAATCATTATTTTGTCATTAATTTCCTTTTGCTTTGTGCAAAACTGATGCCTGGGAGTCAATACATTCCTTAAACATCCAGAACCTATCTGCTCATTCCCATTCCACTTCAGATCCATCTGCAGTTGAAGTCAGAGTGAGTCCTGCTGCGGTCTCCAGTGGGAACTGGGTCAGATGTGTTGCAGCATGAACATGGACTGAGTTGTCTGAGAATGGGAAAGGGAGGTTTTTTCTGCAACGAAAGCACAGTAACAAGGCTTTAGCTGATTCAAAATTGATCCAACTTCAGCTGAGGTTGGGATGCTTTGAGGAAGGAACTAAAACATCATTTCTGGACCACGACATTTCAAGCAATTGGGAGATAGTAGATGATGTTAGTTTTGATGATGTAATCGTTTTACAATCATCTTGTTATTCTCTATGTGTACTGCTTTCATTCATCTCCAGTAAGTGGGAAATGAAGGTAGAATACAAAGCAGGGAGAAGAGCTTGTTTCACATGATGTTTCTGGATCATTTGAAGATGTTCCTTATTGCAATTTCCACCCTTTCCATATCCGCACCTAACCACCAGTGGGAGTCAGGAAGGCTGTTCAATTTCATTTATGATAAGGATGATGATAATAATAATGTTTAAGTGCTAATACACAGATCTAAATTGACAAATGCTGTGTGGGGAGGTCAGTCCACTTTATTTTTCCTGAATCGGCTTCTTTTAGCTTTAATGTTTGGAACAACTTGACTTCCTTTGGCATCACAAAGGAGAGTCTATGGGTTTTCAAACTATTGTTATTATTACTACTACTACTAAAGAGATGATATGGACAAAGAGAGCAAGAGGTGCACAAGGAAGAATAGCTCTACTCAATTTATGTTATTTAATATATGTGGTCATTCTTTTTTATCACAGATTGAAAAGTGGTAGCAAATAACTCACTAAAGAATTCCTGGGGTACATTCAATTGTCACAATTTCTATGTTCAGAAGTGCCATGGATGGAAAATAAAAACATAAATAAGTAGTTTTGCAAGAGCAGAACTAATGAAGCCCTGTGTCTCATAATTAATTGTGAGCTACAGTTGAAGCTTTTCCCTGGGGTGGGGCACATATGGTCCATCTCTCACACTCTCTGAGAAATATATAGATAGATATACTGCATGGATTCTTTATGGTTAATAATGCATGAACTCACTGCAGTCTTGTTGTTAGGCAGGCTCCTTATCCTATGTATTTTCTTCACCATCCTCCTCCTTCTATCCTTTCACAACAAGTATAACATTTTATTTTAATCTTAAACATTACTTCTCTGCCAAATTAGTCTGAAGTCACAAAAGAGATTAAAACCTGAATAGGTTAAACTATACACATGCTAAAATGTATGTCAAATACACTATATATACAAACATGCAAACTGTGTGACTGAATAAGCCTTACCCCTTTATGAAAGGTGGCTCCCAATTGTATACGACACCAGTAGATATTTATTTTCATAACATGTAAAAGCAAAAGGAAAGTACTATAATTTAATCCTTGCCCTTTTTTGGCATCCTCTCTTGTAAAGGAGAAGTCACCAACACACATGAGAACTTCAACAGAGATAAGCTAAATGAGCTCAACAAGAAACTACAAACTCACTGCCAGCATAGGAACATGCCATGAAGTCAAGTCTGTGAAGTTCAGGTTTGGAATGCATTATGGATTCTGAAGAAAAGCTCAGACTATACTGAAGTGCATGCTGGCACTGAAGAACTTTGTCATATAGGGCCCTTTCCTTTCTCTTCTGCAGGAATGTTAATTATATGAAGCATTAAAAGGCATTGTTCCTAACTGTGGTGATTTTCAGAAAACGGGAACTGTGAAAACAGGATTATCAAACCATTGGAAACTTAGAACCACTTTTGAAGTTCAGGCCACATAATGACTGTGTGTAGGGGAGGATGCAGCAAATCGCTTGGAACCTGGCCTTGAATAAGATAGCCAAAAAAGCTCATGTAAAATTAATCAGCAGCCTTCCTTTTCATTTTAAATGCAACCAAAGCCCAAATGCTGGAATAAATACATTCAGTATACAGACAGAATTTTCATAAATCAGCCATGCTTATCCATATCCTTTGTACTTTGTAACCATTAGACATACACTCTATCGAACATAATGTTTCCTAAGATCCCTGGTGGCTTCAGTATTAATCTGAATTCTGTAATTCTACTGTCAAGTTTAAATTACAGATCTGACCACAAACTCATTAGAAAATATACTGCTCGATTCTGTGCTTCTCTTGTCCTGTTTTCATATTTTTTGGGAAAAAAAAAAAGGAAGAAGAAGAAGAAATAAAAAAGGGAAAAGTTGCCATTTCTCTTGCAAAAAGACTGATCTCTATGATGTGGCAATGAGCCAAATTTATTTTAGGAAGTGTTGAAAAAAGAAAAAGGATACATCTTGATCTAATCCATAACTAACATAAATAGGATGTTTGATGATATATATTTATAACAATTATGTACCACATTTATTTATTTATATTTTATGTAAAGGAGGAAAGCTTAATTCTCTTAACTACCAGGGGGCAAGTATAATCTGTCCAGAGGAAAGCACAGTATGGCCAGACAAAATGATAGCTCTCTCACACTGCTCTGTCATTGTAACTAAGCCCTGACATGAAAGCCTTAAGGGTGTGGTAAAAAGGACTGCCCTCCAGTGTGCTGAAAGGAAACTTCAGCATCCTTGCTCATTCGTTTTTTGTATAAAAACTGACAGATGTGTCAAAGGTGTGATAGTTTTGTGAATAAGTAATAAGTCCTGACAAGTTGGACCTTATCATCCCTTCAGCCTAAGGTGAGGAAGGAGCCTGGGGTAATAGCAGGGGCAACAGAAAAGCCCTGGATGGGACTTGCGGGATGGCTTGCCTCACTGGTCTGTGCTCCTGCTGGTACAAAATGGATTTAATGACAAATCTGATCAAATTCATGCCTGGTGTAATTTCAGAGAGGTCAGTGGTGTTACACCAGGGGAAGCATCAGTCCTTGGTGTTTATTTAGGGATGATGGCAGAAGCTTTGGAATAAGAGCAGCGCAACTAAGCCATGAGCTCCCTTCCCCTCAGCAGCATGGTGTGCATACTTCACACGAAGGGCAGCTGGTTATCAGAGTCATGTATGAGTACTTTGTCAAAACCTGTTTCAACATGGCTCACAGAGAAACTGCAATTACTGCACTCGGCCAGTGTGACCCTTAGATGCCTTTCCCAAGGCACTGTCAGATCCACCCGAAATCTCTTTCCAAACAAAAGCAAACCAAGATTCTTCTCTGTGCAATATCTAGGTCATATTACAGGAGATTTACATTCAAGTGGAAGAAAAGAAAGGAGATTGTAATATATGTATTTGTGAAGCAAAAGGTTTGCCTTTCTGCAGGGATAGCAAAGCTCATATTTACAATGCATAGACTTGCAAAGATCACTAGTGCAATGAGAAACATACATGAGGAAAGCAGGAATTCCAGATGGAAGGGAGCATATCCGAATGAGGATGCGAAAATGTTTTTACAAAAAAATACTCATAGTCTCGGTATGTGATTTTCATAAGCTTTCATCAGAAGGAAATAAACCAATATGGAAATGACAGCTGAGATACTTAAGAACATGATTAACTCTCCAGCTTGGGGGAAAAATAAAGAATTTGGTAAATTGTACTGCTACTTAGATTCCCTTATCTATGTATTTTTTCACTCAGGTATGCAATAAACCAGGAAAATCTAATATAACATTCCAGATTATGGGAAAAAGGAAAAAAAATCAGATCAGGTTAACATATTGCTATTATACATACAACATATATAGGCCAAATAGACAAAGAATGAGAGAACAGGATACGGTGTAAGAGTGTGCTGTACAATGGCATTGACTTTGCAGGTGATGGATGGTAGTAAGACACACAACCTCAGGGATAGATGAAACTGGGACATGTGGAAAGCAAAAATCCCAGAAGCATGAGAGGGGACTGCAGGAATAGCATGGCAGTGAAGGACATTTGTTGAAGAAGTCGGGAGAAGGTCAGAGGCAAGAGCCAGGCATTGTAGGAAAGAACACAGAGCCCAGTTTCCTGAGTGCAATGCAGCAGGAAACGGGTTCTGGAAAGGGTGTGGGGTTACCAAATATATGTGATGGGCACAGAGATCTGAAATACTGCACAATGAGGCCAGACAAGTGGTGGCAGATGGGTTTGGACTGGGGATAACAGTCTATTCCACATTTTGCCAACTTCTTCTAACTATTACACACACTCCCTCCCCCCCACTTCTTTATGTTTTAAATTGCTTCAGCTCTGTCTTTCATCTTTTTTCTTTCTCCTAAGGCCTGAAATACGATGCCTGCTATGAACACTGTCTTCTTTTGACATTTTCACTCCCTGATAATGCTGCAAGCTAGCCTTGAATTTTAAAAAGTGGCATGCATGCACACACTCAAGCACTCCCACTCTGAGGCTGTCATTCTCATCAAACATCTGGAAATCTCTTTGCCAGAGTGCTACTGCCAAATGCTCCTGCCTCATCCAGGCAGAATTGTGCTTCCCCTACAGGGTAAGCAAGAAGTACTTGAGTGCAGATTTACAGCTGTTGATGTGGCAGCACTGAAGTCTTGTGCAGCAGCTCAGATCTCCTTATTTATGGTTTTAACTCTCAGAGGAGTTTGGTTAGAGAGCAGATTGGATGTGGACATCCAAAGCCTTCTTGCAGCCTGAGGATTCCTTCCTTTTCCTTTTATTTCTAGCATCTTTCCTGTCCAGCCCTTCATAACTCTGGCCAAACACAGATGGCTGTAATTCCCTCAGACTCTGAGGAAAGCATCAGCCTCAGTACTAAGACCTCACTGGGCCAAGTACCACAAGATTTCAACTCCTAGCCCAGGGGAAGAAGAAATGGAGGATCAGATTTCGAGGCATCTAAGCGCCTCAATCCCATCCCCTTTCCAAAGCAGTCCCTGAGCT